CCCCCCTAGACTGTTTTTTTAAATCCTTTTAGCTATTTTGGGGTCATGTTTTCCTAGCAGCCATGAGGACTACATTTCTTTTTTAAAAGGGGAGGAAAAAAAAGAAAGAAAACAAAGCTGTGATGAAATAGTCCTATTCCAGAAGCCCACACTTCAAAAAAAACCACCACCCAGCCAACCCCACAACTGCAAAGAGATTCCTGATGAAATTGTGAGTCGACAACGTCGCATTTGCTGAAATTTTTAGATTTTCCTGCTCCCCCTCTTAACCATTTGCAACAGGACAGGGTGAAGGAGGCTGGGAGAACAAAATTGAAAGTAAATCTGGTCTTCTCCTGGGTTCCAGCTCTCAGGAAGGTGGCAAGGCGCTCAGAGATTCTCTGGGAGTTTGGTTTACAGGATTTTAGGCCACTGTTTCACCATCTTCCTTCAGATCTACCTGATGCTACAGCATTTTAATGGATGCAACCACTGCCGTGCCGAGGCGCAGCACGGCCAAGCGTGCGCGCCTGCACACACCAACAGCTCCCATATGTAAATATCTGAAATAACGGTCCCTGGGCACACAGCATTGCTGCAAGGACTTCTTTGACTTCAGAAGCAGTTTTGCTGCTCTATCTCAAATAGCAGGTGTCCGGAGCCAGTTTAAAGCCTCCGGGCACAATCGCTATTCTTCAGGAGAGGCGTGTTGCAACACACAAACTGCGGAGCTCTGCTGCGGGTGGCCACTCTGCCCAACAATTATCTGAAACGCAAGGAGCTGTCGGGAGGTGATTTACGCTGTGCCGGGCACGGGAGAAATAGGAGCACAGTTGCCAGCTTCTTGGCCCTGACCAAATCTGCTCCAGCCATCTGAGTTTATTTTATTTTTTGCCCTCTGGATATGGTTGAAACGGTAGTGATTTTTCTAAAGAAAGGCTTTCAGACTTCCTGCTTTAAAACAAAATGGCCTCATTCAGCAAATGTCCTACTTCTCACGATGCCTGCGCGTGGAGGAGGTAAATGGAGGTAAATAGTGAGGGGTGTTGTGCAACCAGCTCTTTGTGTAAAGCTGAACTGAAAGGAGAAGGTACGAAAGGAAAACCAGAGGACGTTTTGCAAATGTTCAGCTGCAGACACTGATGAAAGTCCATCTGTAGCCCCTTCCCCTTTACCAAGTCCCAAGATCAGAGGTGAGAACTGAAGCTTTGATGCCCACTCTCTTTCATATGCCTAATTATAGCACATCGCTGGAATGACAAAACTCCTTAAACAGATGTAATATAAATGCCGTAGAGTCAAAAGAAGGTTAAAATTTAAAAAAAGGTTATCGGAACAGGCCTACAGCGTTTTATTACAAAGCCAGCCCAAAACGGGTCAGGGTCTCATGAGTCTCATGTAATATAAATTATATTAAAACAATGATATTGCTGTTGAACGTTCAAAGCTCACTTCATAACAGATAAAAATCTCGGGGACTGAAAAGGAATACTAATTAATAGCAGGCTGTAAACTGCATCGTAGCCTCCAAGAGCCAAAACACCCATACTGACGGAGTCACATCAGTGTTCAGCGATACGATCACCAGCAGCAGAGAGGGCTCCATTTTAAGTAATGAGCTTTCATTTCAGCTGACAACAGAGAAAAAAAAAAAATGAGGATGATGGATGTCACGCTCTTTTCACACAGAAATGAAACACATGGGTGAGTCTGGCCATAATGCTGGGAGGTACTATTTACAGAGATCAAGGGTAACCTCCCATCCCGATTCTGGCAGGAAATTCTCAACTTTGGGGATCCAAGTGGGAGCAAGGAAATCTATGAAAACAACAGGAATTAACTCGGTATAGGAGGCTGCTGAATGACTGATGCAAGGAGGAAGGAAATGACTAGAATATGAAATAACAGCAGGGAGAAGGCTGTGTATGCTCAGCGTGACCGAGAAAGGCTAGTTTCCAGGCAAAATCATTAGCCTTCATTTGATGAGTAACTGTGAGCTCTTTAACTTTTTATCTGGCTCAGAGGTTCTGCATCAGAGAGTACGGCTGCATAACCCGAAAATCTGGAAACACAAAACGGACTGCAAATAGCTGTTTAAAAAGGTTAATAATTGCATGCCATGCATTGCCATTAAGTACAGTAGGAAAACACCAGCTCGGTGAATGATGGCTGTGATACACCTGGAAAACCTCCCGTGGGGGCGAGCGGTGCTACTCACATGGGCCCTGGGGGTGCTGCTCTGCCGGGCAGCGATGCCCAAAGCAGCCATGGGCTTGCGAGGAGACGTTGGGATGGGGCAAGTGCTGGCACATGGGGCACTGCTGATGCTCAGGTCCAAAAAACTCCCTGGAGATTAGCGGTCCTGGGAGGTCCTGAGGGTTCAGCACAGACACCAGCGGTAAGGGGGGCTCCAGCTGCCTGATGCCCATGACGTCTCGCGACTGGGAGTTGTACCCCATGTCCTCCATCCCCAGCTCTGCTGGGGGTCTGTTTCCTGAGGGTTGCCGTGACCGTGAACTCCCTTGGCTGCTCTCCTCCAGCGAGTCCTCAGGAGCGTCAGACAAGCTCTGCTCTGATTTACTGGAGTTGTGCCCGGTGTCAGCTGAAAGCTGTGATCTTGGCTGCACGCCTGGTCTGTCCATAGCTACAAGATGCAGCTTGGAGGGAACTACTCCAGCTATTGATTCACCGGGGGAACGTAAGCGTCCATCTCCATCAGGTTCAGTATATTTTGACCACAGGCTGCTGTCCGGCTCCACGGACGGTGCTGACTGATGGCATGCTGGTGCTCTGCAGAGGCATGATGGATCAGCCGCAGGCTGAAGCGTTCGAGCAACACACCATCTCTGAGACTCCTCATCCTCCATATCCTCTCCAGAACGCTGCAAAGCCTTTTCCAAGACATGTTCGGGAAGTGGGGACCACGGCATGGATTCATCCACTTCGACTGGTATGCTTCGACCCACAAAGGTGCCTGAAAAAGTGGGAGAAGAAACACTGTAGATGGACAGCCGTGCCGACAAACGCCTGCTGTCAGTCATCGCGCTGCGACTGTGAGCTGGAATACTGAAAAGTAATATGCATTCTTCATATGTGTATGTTTTTTAAAAAAAGACAGGCAGAAAACAGCAAGAATGGTCTGGCTGAATTTTGGCAAAGCAAGGAAGTAGAGGGTTAGCTGGAGGGTGGCTAGCACAGCATTATGATTTGGACTAACCTGACACAGAGGCCATTTCCAAGTTTTGTAGTCGCACAGGAAACGAGAGTCAGCTGCCTTACTCCAAAGCCAGGAACTGGAAAACAAGAGAAAGTATTCTTGTGAACATGGTACAGTTTCACACAGGCAATATTCCTAAAATAACTTTATCTCAGAGACTGAAAAAGAAATACTGGTTAGAGTTGTGGAAATTGCATTGTGCAAAATCCTTTTATGGGATTTCTGGAACTTCCTGTGCCTGCTGAGACTGGAGGGGGGAAAATCACATGAACTCTCTCTCAGAGGTAATTTCTGCACCTGACAAAAGAGCAGGCTGCTTAGGTCTGGAGGTTTGGTTCAGTCATATTCCAGGGAATACAACGAATTGCAATTGTTTTACTCTAGACCTCCTAATAGCAGCTTCACACTGATGCCTTAGATCTGTACTTCACCACACACCTAGCTCACTAAACTCCAAAGCTTCAATCATAGAATCACAGAATCACAGAACGGTTTGGGTTGGAAGGGACCTTGAAGACCATCTAGTTCCAACCCCCCTGCCATGGGCAGGGACACCTTCCACTAGACCAGGTTGCTCAAAGCCTCATCCAGCCTGGCCTTGAACACTTCCAGGGATGGGGCATCCACAGCTTCTCTGGGCAACCTGTTCCAGTGCCTCACCACCCTCTCCATGAAGAACTTCTTCCTGATGTCCAATCTAAACCTCCCCACTTTCAATTTAAACCCGTTATCCCTTGTCCTGTCACTACAGGCCCTTATAAAAAGTCCCCCCCAGCTTCCTTGTCGGCCCCTTCAGGCACTGGAAGGGGCTATAAGGTCTCCCCGGAGCCTTCTCTTCTCCAGGCTGAACAAGCCCAACTCTCGCAGCCTGTCCCCATAGCAGAGGTGCTCCAGCCCTCTGAGCATCTTCGTGGCCTCCTCTGGACTCGCTCCGACCAGTCTATATCCTTCCGATAAACTCCAAAGCTTGTTTCCAAGTATTGCTGCTTCTTTTATCCAACCACTACATCCAGCCTATCATCACATGGCTGTTGTTATTTCAAATTATTGAAAATTAAAAGGCAATTTAGACACATCAGTTACTGTTGGATTTTTTTCCCCCTTCCTTCAGAATTGGCTTGGGCCCAATCATCAAAATTATCACTTCTTTTGGGGGTGCTGTCAGTAAATTTCATCCAGCCAAGTGATCCCTGATGACGGACGCCTCTGCTCCACCTTCACTCAGAATGACAGCAGCAGTAATGGGTGAATGCTGAGTGGGCTTCTGGAAGTGCTGCCACCTTCATCCTCTCATATAGGGGTGCAGCAAATTGTATCTGTTACCGTGGAGAGTAGAGAAACAAGCCCAGTGCTCATCATCTCCCTGGCCATTTTCTTCCTATCACATCAGAGAAGCTACAGTCCCAAGCAGGAGAGCTGTCAGAGAAGAATGAACTAAGCACTCCAGCAATGGGAATGACAACACTTGGCAACAATCTAACTTAAAAGCCTGGTAAAGAAAGTCAAAATCACAACATGTTTGAGGAGCTTTTAGCAGACCAAGGATTTATCCCAATTTCAGTCGCAGCAGCTTGAACAGAAAGGTCAAATGAAGAACAAATTCAAATGACCACAGTATTAAAAACAGGATCACAGAGATGAATAAGGCAGTGTCCCAACCTTTACCCTGGCTCCCACAAAGATTCTGTAAAAGCAACTGATGTGCTGTGTGCTACAGTGCAAGAGTGAGGCTTTACATCCATGCTGATCAGATCAAACATCATGTATTTCCCCCTGAGAGTACCTCTGGCATAGAAAATTCTGGGTGTAACATTTGCTGGGAAGCAGGATAAAAACTGTGCTTTGCTGCTGGGCTGCAGTGTAAATATTCCTCCTCTGTGTAACTTAAAACCCATCTATGCAGAAGATTTACCATATATCCATACATATCCTATGTTATAATAAGCACGTCCACAGGGAGAGTTATCCTGGGATAATTACAGTGGGATAATTATGCTGGTAAATTTTCCCATGTAGGCAAGTCCTCAGAGCAGCTATTAGTTGCACCACCGCAGCGAGCATGCTGCTGCTCTGGCAGCTGCAGCCCCCTGCGTGAGAGCACTGGGTCTGCTGCCAAACCAGCTCTTTCCCATACAAGCACCCAGCCTTGAAATCCTGACGGTCAGCTCACCACCACGGCACATCCCTCCCACCGGCTTGCATCCCTTTTCCTCCACGCGTCACTAACGCCGGCCCTGTTCGCTGAGTCACGGTTCCTTGGGCGTCAGAACCGATGTGATGGGAAAGGGAAAACCTCCAGCTCTCGTAACCAGCACACAACTGTGACAGGGACTTGTGCTGCACGGCGGTGGCTAAACGTCCCTTATCCGGGACCCTTGGCCAGGTGGCAGTCTAAATGATGACCGCCCTGTGGTGGTGGGTACGGTGCAAGGTCAGATTTACAGGGACGAGGGTGTAAAGCTGCTGAGCAGTCCCCTGCCAGCCCTAGGGAAGTGCCTGTGAAGGTTAGGTGTCACACTCCCTGCAAGACATCCATCATTTGCTCGTCTCAGCAGCTTTGTAAACCTGACCCTTGGATCATCTGGCCTCGAAGTGCCTGCTCAGACATGCTTTGGCTTGTGGGTATCTCCGTCCGTCTGCTCCTAAGCTGAACGGCGTGCGCTCGGTGCGCACTCGAGCAGCAGCAGCACTGCAAACTCTCATTCCCCCCACCGAGCACCTCCAGTGAACTGGTTCCTTGTGCAAAATTCACCCTGGTGTTCACAAAGCTCAGCTGTGGGGCACCGGGGTGCAGCTCCACCTCTTCAGCCACACGCGTTGTCTGATCATCCCTCCCATCGGATCTAGTCCTTAGCACGCACCCAAGCATGGCTTTTCAGAAACAAATTTGCAATGCCTCACACATTAAGACGCTTCTCTGATGGTCTCTGAAGCAGTCAGATTAAAATGCTGGAAAAACACTTTGAACTCAGATCCTCTATATTCAACAGCCTTTAGTTTAGCACCGTGACAAGAAGAACAGATTTCTGTGGAGAAACAGCGGACGGGGTCCAGAGCTCAGTGAAGTAAATGGGAATCTCTCTGTTGACCTCAGCACGTTTTGGATCGGGTGTCAGACGGGATTTAAAGTTTACTCAATTCCTTTGGAGACTACAACCTCCAAAGTTTTTCACCTACTTTTTTCGTTCCATCACTAACATCTGGCTATCTGTCAAATGGACTGTGTGAACCTAATGAAAGGCACGTATGGATAAAAAATTGACTAGTTTTCTTCAAGTTTGTTATTTAGTGTATTTACTCTGCCTTTTGGAGGAGGGATATTAAGACTTCATTAAACTGTATTGCAAACGATCAGCTACCAAGCTCCTCCAATGGCTCGCTTCAGAATAGTTTAAAAATGTCTTTCCTATTAGTTTAGTCCTCTGAAAGGATAAATGCCTCTATCTCTCAAATTAACTTAATATTTAAATGACACTCTTATTTCCTTCCTGTTTAACATGAGCTAAATATTGAGAAAATTATTCCAAATAGCTGAGTAGAAATAATTTGGTCAGACAGAAGACAGACCTGCTTCCATCTCTTGTGTTTTTACCTGCAAAAGCTTCTAGGTTTTTTTCAATATGATTTTGCTTAGACCCTGCTGCAGGAGCACAGGGCAGCAAAAGCTGAGCTTTGATACCCACGCGCAGGCCCTGCTCCCACGGGGCCACGGCAGGAGGCACCGAGGGGCCAAGGGCTTTGGTGTTAAACAGGCCCATCATCAAAAAGGAGGAAAAGTGACTTCACCCTCCTCCTCCCTCAGTAGCTCTGGTTGGAGGGAAAAGCTGTTACAACAGCAGAGCTCGCTCTGTAGAGATGGCCCCGAGGATAAATTAACCCCAGGACACACTGAACACTTTTTGAGCAATGCTGGCAGTGGTATGTGGATGGAAATTCCCGAGAGAATTCCCCTCGCTGCTGGAAATGTTACAGATGATTCAGAAACATCCTCTTCTAACAGCAGTACTTCAGGATGTTGTTTCTGCTCTGCTGAAGATCCTTGGCTTTTGGAAAAAGACCCAACACTGAGCCCATTATCCCAGTATTTTACGTGACCTCGTGCTGCAGAGTTCCATTAGGTTTCCTCTGACTTTTCTAGTTAGCTTATCCTGCAAGTACAGTTGCGCGCAGAACAGAAAAATCACTCGCTTCAGTCTCCCGTGTTGAAGAATTAGGGTAAAGGAATGCTTCAGCATATTGAAATACCCTCGGAAACTTGTAGCCTGATCCCTTTTCTGGCATGGAGACTGCTGGAGAATGTAGATCGTGCCCAATCCCATTTCCAAAGACACTGCAGCTTCAAGTCAGATCACGATATTGCCAGAAAGCTTCGAGAATTTAATATCCCCCCTGTACCTATGACTATGCAGGAGATTACTGATAACCAGCTGGAGCCATTGCATAAATTCCTGCTTGTAATAAAATGAAGAGGCCTTTCCTAAAGGGACAGAGGCCTGGACTGCTCTCAAAAATGTCGAGGGAACTCCTTAAACCACCCTTTCTCCTTCTCTTCCTTCCTCTGCTCATACACCCAGTTCTGTAACGTGCATTAATTCAGCATATAATGGGTGCGTAGTGACCCAAGCTCCTGGGCAGAAAACCCATCCCAGCTCCCTTGTGAGGTTTCCCATGCCTGAAGAACTTCTTCCGCTGCTCCTGCCAGGGAGCCGGGAGGGAGGCCGCCCAGCCCTCTTGCTCACAGCCGCTGGCGATGGCCCCTCCTGGGAAGCTGCAGGGAAAGCATACATGAAGGGGAACAAATTCTTCTGCAGGTCAGCAGAGATGGGCCTGAGCACCCTAGTTTGAAGTAAGGGTCCAACTCCCCTAAAAAAGATCCAGTGGAGGTAAGGGGATGGCCAGGGAGAGGAAGGGTGCTGGGCCCAGGCTCATCTCTAGTTTTCTTGTGGCTGGTTGCGAAATCCATCAGGTATTTCATCTGTTTCCCAGCATGGAGACGTGTCAGGATGTGCTGTCCCA